GGACTATAGAATGCAGGGCATAGTAGCTTGGGCATGGTGGTGAGTTGTTGCAGAGAGTTTCGTCGTCGTTAGTTACTGGGAATCGTCAGAGTAGACGTGCTGACGCGAATCGTTCGAGCCAGGGTTGAGTGTCTGTGAGTATTGGAGGGACAGCCATGGCTCATTCATTTGCAAATAGGCGCATAGAGGGCAAACTGAATGACAAGAATACTGTTCCAAAAAGCCAAAAACAAAGATGTATCGTCAATCCAAATGGATATCTTCCTCTAGTGGCTGATAATGCTTCGACTTTATATATATCGAAAACGTTTGACCATTTCTCAATCCTGTAATAAGTCTTGAAAGTACAAGCGCCTTGTTTCTGTCTGATTTCCTTCCCGGTAGAGGCTATGTGAGTTTCGACTGGAAAGTAGGCTAGACGCAGCAGTAGTAATCATAATTATATGGATTGTCTAAAGTTTCCTCTGTTGTAATCTGAAGTGGGTAAGAATGTTTGAGGACTGTAATGGCCTAGGACACTAACAATCGTGTAGTGTCTTTGGAATGGTATATGACTTCTCAAACAAATTTATGTAGATTGGAACTATATATTGAGTGCTGGCTTGTATTTATAGTCATATTGTTGATCTTTTGCATAGTCTTTGAATTAAGTTATTCTGATAATTAGGAATATGCAACTATAAGATTTTATATTTATCAATATTAGGTATGAAATCTATTGTTTTAGTGCTAGCAGAAGATAACATATCTTTTGCCTCGTTTTACTTGAGCTGGAAAGCCCAAGTTACTGGCAGTACCTTATTACCGCCTATCATATTCTTCCGTCATGGTCCAGAAAGGTTTGAATCTGTCTCGCACTTCGTTCTTAATACCTCGCTTCATGTTGTTTCTATCTTAATCTTTCCGAACGAAATACGATCTTGCCTATCTCAGAGTTGATTGGCATGGAAAGTTATTATATATTGATAAATACGGTTCCAGCGGTTAAATGACGATCAGCAATAGATACGCGAAATATGTGCCCCTCTGTGCCAAGACTAGAGGACAGAAAATGCTTATTATTGCGTATTAATTATGTAATAATAATATCGCCTCCTGTCTATATATGTTTACCAGGTTTCTAGTTATTTATACTAAGTTTTAAAATAATATTTTAGAAATTTAATAAGCATCCATCAACCAACTTGATTTCTCAAAAATATCATTCATAAGGGGTATTATGAATGTGCCCAAATGGGATGTTAAAACGATCACCTAAACTAATTTACATCCTTAATCCATTCTCTTGCTCCTCCAGATATTCTCAAGTCTTGCTATTATATTTGCCTGTCTTTTTTGGTGTATTTTGTAGACAGTCTGTGAAAAGAGGTAGAGAGCAAGGTCGCCTGGGTGTATTCTTTTAAGATATCAATGTGCCACAAGCAAAGTGGCAGACAACGGGCCCTCCCTGCATGCCTGGTAAGTGGTGAGTAGTTACTGAGTGTCTGTAATAGTGTTATTGGTGATGCTCGATGCTAGAGTCAGTTCTCTCAAGAACAGTAAGGGCCAAGCGTTGGCACTCTCCCTATTTGTCGACCTCTCCAATTGTCGCTTATCTCTCTTATCGAGTGTAGGAGTCCTTCTAATCTCATAGCACTCCCATTGTGTCATATCGTCGCGCCATTAAAGGCACACCAGTTTATACTCATTCCCACCAGTCTTTCTACAGTCGATAGTCCTTCTAAGAATAATGTTTTTCGCTATCATAATAATATAGCCGAGCTTGATTGAATATTAATGGAGCCCTGACGTGTATTAATGTACCAACAAATAGACAGGAAAAAATTGTGACAATCACTAAAATTATCCATAAGAATCCATAGTTTTATCACTACCAGCGCAAACCTCCGATGATCCTTAAGCCAAAAGGATCTAATCCATATTATAGGTGTTCTGTCCTATTTATTTTTTTCTATATTTGTTCTATACCTCATCTTATGTTCTTTGTGCATTCTTATCACTTCATGTCTGGTGGCCCCATATGTATATTGGCTATTTGGAGGGAAACTAATGTATAAATAGTGTAGTTTAGAATAATTATATGAAGCCTGTGTGTGTGTTGTGGTGTACATGAGGGAGAGAAATTAAATAATCCTTCGCACATGTGGTAACAGCTCGGCCTGCCCTTGCTTCCTTACGCTCATGCTATAGTCTATCTAACCTAGTCTATACATCCCTTCGGTTCTAGACTTATGTGTCTATATGTATTCGCAGCATTAGCTTCTCATATGAGACAAGGCAAAGGCTTAATGAGTCTGTTGATTTAGTGATATTTATATCCAAATGCAAATCACATGAAACTATGATTGAATTTTATCATTCTATATATTCTTCGACTGCATAGGGCAGAGATATAAAGAGAAAAGGCATTTCATTTTTTAGGTCATTGTATAATCGTGCTTTTGTCAGACAGAGAATATTGTCGCAATTGTTCCTAAAAGGGCTTTAAAATCTTTCATATAAAATTATCTCCAGATGATGTTGCAGCGGTTCTATCGTTTAGACTTCTGTATTCCTACTGTAAATATACTCGTTAAATATTAATCAATAAACTGAGCTGAGGCAAGTGGCTCATGGCGCTTATTCCTTAATAAATTTTGCACATACAAGGGCAAAGGGGGAGGATTGCTTGAGCTACTGATGTTTGATGACAGTCAGCATTTGGGAACTAAGGTGCATGTGACAATACTCTACATCTCGAGTAAAAGGTGGCGTGTAATGTTATTAGTTCAGATGGATGGCGGGAATACTGTGTTACAGCGATTATGACTGGGAAGCTTCTGAGGTCTATAGTGAGAGATAACTGACAGTATAGAGTGTGTTCGATGCGCAAGTGAAAAATGTTCTGGTCGTGTACCTCTCGCCATAACCATCCAGCATATCGCTAACTCGCATGTTGGGCCTGGGGGTGCGAATGAGATCCTGCTCAAACCAATGAAACACAACCACAACAGGCTCCAGCGACATAAGTAGCATCGATACTACTAATTAAATTAGCCTTGCAGCTGCCTTTGACAAGAGGCCATGCGACGTCGGCGAGTACCTGAGGGCCAGTAGGTTTTGAGAACCTCAGTTTGCGGCACATGTATCTAAGGGTGTTATCTTCTAGAAAGAATATGATATTCACGAGAAGCGTGCTAGAATGAAGACTTAGTGTGTAATTTTACGGTCGCTCTCGTGGCTCAGGCCTATCTTTGTATCTAAGCTTCTGCCTAATTTTTTTTAGCGTTTTGCTGCCATGAGGGTTGGGGTGGATTGTCAGGTCAGGATGGTTTCCTCTTGCTGTAAACGCGCCTTTAAAGCGCTAAGAGTGTGCGACGCCTGCATCCTATAACTGTAGACGATAATGTAGATAGAAGAAATATCATTGGCTCTGTTTCATGTGTCTCTCTATTACAGAACACCAGTGGTTATATTTTATAGGTGGAAGATTGTGAGCCGCGATAGATATTGGGGGGTGCATCTGTAGTCTAAATACTACTCGAATGTTAAGGTTTGGGTTAATAATTTAGTTGTTATTAAGATGCTTGTAGTATTGGATCGAGGAGTAGTTGCTTCTGTGAGCCAAGGGTTGTGATGCTTGAGAGTTGTAGAGCTTAATCTGGCCTATAGTTTGTCTCTCTCTCCTGTAGATGAAGGGCATACAAGTAGATGATGTTGCCAGTGTCTACAAAAAAAAAAAAAAAAAATATTTTAATTACTTGTATTGTGCCTGTAGTCCCAGCTACTTGGGAGGCTGAGGCAGTAGGATTGCTTGAGCCCAGGAGTTTGAGGTTGCTGTGAGCTAGGCTGACACCCCACGGCACTCACTCTAGCCTAGGCAAGAAAGCGAGACTCTGTCTCAAAAAAAAAAAAAAAAAAACCACAATGAGCTACGACTTCACACCTCTTAAGACAGATAAAACCAAAAGGACAGACAATAACAGTATTGGTGAGATATTTAAGCTGCTAGGATTGTAAAACAATACAGCCACTTTGGAAAATAGTTTAGTAGTTCCTCAAAAGATTAAACATAAAGTTACCATATGACCCAGCAATCTCACTCCTAGGCACACTGAAGAGAATTAAAAACATGTGCACGCAAAAGATGTACACACAAGTATTCAATATACTCAATAACCAAAAAGTGGAAACAAGCCAAATGTTCACCACTGATAAATGGATAAATAAAATGTGGTATATCCATATAATGAATCATACTTGGCAATAAAAAAAGAATAAAGTAGTGACTCACACTATAAACCCTGAAAACATTATGCTAAGTGAAAAAAGTAATCAAAGAAGATCGGCTGGGCGTGGTGGCTCACGCCTGTAATCCTAGCACTCTGGGAGGCCGAGGCAGGTGGATTGCTCTAGGTCAGGAGTTCGAAACCAGCCTGAGCAAGAGCGAGACCCCCGTCTCTACTATAAATAGAAAGAAATTAATTGGCCAACTAATTTATATAGAAAAAATTAGCCGGGCATGGTGGTGAATGCCTGTAGTCCTAGCTCCTCGGGAGGCTGAGGCAGGAGGATCGCTTGAGCCCAGGAGTCTGAGGTTGCTGTGAGCTAGGTTGACGCCATGGCACTCACTCTAGCCAGGGCAACAAAGCAAGACTCTGTCTCCAAAAGAAAAAGAAAAAGAAGATCATATATTGTATGATAACATTTATATGAAAAGTTTGGAACATGCAAACCTGTAAAGACAGAAAGTAGATCAGTGTTTGGCAGGAGCTAGGGGTGAGGGAGTGGGGAGCAGCAGCTAATGGATGCAAGGTTCCTCTGGATAATGAAAATGTTTGAAACTGGACTGTAATGGTTACACAATTCTGTTAATATACTACAAACCACTAATTGTGCACTTGAAATAGGTGGCTTTATAGTTATGTAAATTACACCTCAATAAAGCTGTTTTTAAAAAAGATATGCCTAATATTTAATATTTTATTCCTCTAGTTCTTAGAACACACATTTTCCCTTACCTTGAAGCCACAGCCCAGCCTGGCAGTCCAAACCTCTCATAGTCCCCTCCGTAAATGTCTCGCACTAGTTTATCCACTTTGGTACTATCTCCACGAGATGCCATTTCAAGAGCTTCTTCAAAAGTGGTACAGCCAGTAAGAAGACAGCAGAGACCAAAAAAAGTTCCTCCTCCAAGACTGAGTACAAACAAATAATGCAGTATAAATATGTAAATATCCCTATATATATAAGCATATATTAATATAAATATATAAGCATCCCTATATAAATATAGGGATAAGAAGGTAACATTTATGAATCCCTAAACCATGTATCAATCCACTCTTGCCCCAACTCAATCATGCAAATGCCCCCTTGGTAGGAAAACAGTCTGTGAAAAGATAAAAACAAGGTGCCTGGGTGTATATCTTTAAGATACTCACATGTGCCCACAAGCAAAGTGGCAAGACACAGGGGCTCACCTCCCTGCCCATGCCTGGGTAGGAGTGAGTAGTCTGAGTGTCTGCTGAGTATGAAGAGCCTCAGATGCAAATCAGCCTAACACACCTAGGGCCAGGTTGGCACCTCCTCCCTTTCCCTCTCCAAGTGCACTCTCTTGAGTCATTCTCATCCAAGCACCCTGACACCTTGGCACACCAGTCTCCCACCCCACCAGGCTCCTCCAGTAATGTGTTTTCTATCCCAAAATTACCCCTCTCATTCTTTAACTCACACCTGTTTAATAACAACAACAAAAAAACTTGTTCATCCCAATCCCTAGATCCTTGTTTTCTCCTCCAGGAACCTCCGATGATCCTTAAGCCAAAAGGATCTAATCCAATCTAATCTTCCATATATTTTCTATTGATCAGTACCTCAACTTCTAGATCTCATACCACATCCCCTGGCCATATGTATGTACATACGTGTGTGTGTGTGTGTGTGTGTGTGTGTGTGTGTGTGTGTGTGTGTGTACATGAGAGAGAGAAATATAAAATCTACACAGGTTTCAAAGCTGGGACCTTCCCTTGCCCTCTCCTTACAGATGCTACCTAATAAACTTCGGCTACTTGGTATATGAATACCATAAACTACACCTAAGGGCAAGGGCTTAATGAGTCTGTTGATGTGATATTTTACAAAACACCTATGATAACATAATCTTGAGCAACAGAGATTAAAGAAAAGTAGGTCATAAAATCAGAATTTTCAAAGAGAATTTGTCTGCATAATCCTAAAAGGATTTAAATCTTTCACATAAATTTTAACAGATTCTTGAAGGTTTAGTTATCTGCAATACCTGAAAACTCAGTTAATATTAACAATAAACAGGCTGGGCAGTGGCTCACGCCTATAATCTTAGCACTCCGAGGGGCCAAAGGGGGAGGATTGCTTGAGCCAGGAGTTTAAGACCAGCTGGGCAACATAGCTAGCAACATCATCTCCATAAAAAAATTAGCCAGATGTGATGGCAAACACCTGTAGTTCCAGCTACCTGGGAAGCTGAGGCAGGAGGATCACCTGAGCCCAAGAGTTTGAGGTTGTAGTGAGCTATGATAATAGCATTGCACTCTAGCCTGGGTGACAGAATGAGATCCTGTCTCAAAACAAAACACAAACAAACAGGCCAGGTACAGTGGCTCACTCCTATAATCCCAGCACTTTAAGAGTCCAAGGTGGGAGGATCACCTGAGGTGCCAGTAGTTTGAGACCAGCTTGGGCAAGACCTTCATCTCTAAAAAATATGCTTTTCAGGCCGGGTGCGGTGGCTCAGGCCTGTAATCCTAGCCCTCTGGTAGGCCGAGGTGGGTGGATTGCTCAAGGTCAGGAGTTCGAAACCAGCCTGAGCAAGAGTGAGACCCCATCTCTACTATAAATAGAAAGAAATTAATTGGCCAAGTAATATATATAGGAAAAAATTAGCCGGGCATGGTGGCGCATGCCTGTAGTCTCACCTACTCGGGAGGCTGAGGCAGTAGGATTGCTTGAGCCCAGGAGTTTGAGATTGCTGTGAGCTAGGCTGACGCCATAGCTCTCACTCTAGCTGAGCAACAAAGTGAGACACTGTCTCAAAAAAAAAAAAAAAAATATTTTTTAAAAATTAGCTGGGCATGGTGGCATGCACCTGTAGTCCTTGGGATCCCTACTTGGGATGCTGAGACAGGAAGATGACTTAAGCCCAGGAGTTCAAGGCTGTAGTAAGCTATGATTGCCCCATTACAATCCAGGCAGGGGTTACAGAGCAAAGCCCCATCTCTTTAAGATAACATAACATAAAATAAAGTAAAATAAACAATGACTTTTATATAAAAGACTTACCTGGTACCTGTGACCCGCTTGTAATTATCTTTGGAATATACTGCTAAGATGCTAACCCCTGAGCCAATGTTCACCAGAAGCAGAGGGTATGGATTTTTCAAATCAAACGGTAACTTCTGACATTTTTCAGAATCAGCAGGGTTTTCAAAATAATAGCATTGTGACCGTCCATTGAATCCAACTGAGTCAATGTATAAAATTCCTTTTATTAAACAATCTAGTTCATCCAGTTTGCAAAGCTGAAGATCACCTATCTGTAACGAAATAAGAATGTATTCAGACTTCTCAACACGGTAACAGTAAATTCCATTCAATAAGACATCTCCTCTACATTAAACCATAAAATCATGCTCACAGATGTATATTTTTTGTACATGCTTTACAGAACAGATTTGGGAACATAGGGCAGACTACTGAGACAGACTTCTGCCCCCACAGACCCAAATACACCTACATACAAACCACTGGAGCAGCTGAAGTAGCATGCCAAAAAAACACAAGTGAGTATCAACTAGTCAAGCAAAAAACAAGGTCTCTGTTCACAGGAACAATGAAGCAGGTATGCAACTGACATTAGAGCCCTATGAGAATGCACCTAGTGACACATGGCCAAAGCCAGGAGGCTCTGACATCTGCCTTCCAAAAGACCCTCTTCAAGGTTATGGAGCATTATCAAAAGAAGCCTCACTTTATTATTTAACTACCTAAAGCCAAAGGGTTGAAAGTGGTCAATTAGAAGATTGGCCAGGTGCAGTGGCTCATGCCTGTAAACCCAGCACTGTGGGAGGCCCAGGCAGGATGACCGCTTGAGGCTAATAGTCTAAGACCAGCCTGGGCAACATACTGAGACTCCATGGGGGGGGGGGGATTTAAATAGCTGGGCGTGGTGGTGCACACCTGCAATCCCAGCTACTAGGGAAGCTGGTGGGGGAGGATCGCATGAGCCCAGGAATTGGAGGCTACAGCAAGCTATGATTGCGCCACTGCACTCCAGCCTGGGTGACACAGCAAGACCCTGGCTCTTTCAAAACAAAAACAAAAAGGCAAGTTGGTTTTATGTGGGGTTTTTTTGCTTTCTAGTGGAGGCCAAGACTAAAGGATCACTTGAGGCCAAGAGTTCAAAACTATCCTAGGCAACTTAGCCAAGATCCCATCTCCACCACCACCCAAAAATAATAATAATTAATTAAATTAAAAATAAACTGGTTACAGCCTTTTGGGGGCCAAGGAGATTTTAGCAGTATCAAAATTTAAACAATTGTTATCAACTTAATTTCATTTAAATAATGAATAAGGGAATCATTAAATTATTGTTCATACTATGGACCACTGTATAACAATTAAAAATGAAGGGGATCTATATGTACTAAAGTGAGAAGAACTCCAAGACATGTCAAAAAAGCAAGCTGAGAAACATTTATAAAATATAATCCAATTTGCCCATTTTTAAAACCACATTTATATGCATATGTATGTTTGATTCACAGTCATGCACTGAAAAATTTAAAAGATGCATAAACTTTTAACAATGATGTCTTTGGAGAGATGGTACACACATCCACATTTGACTCTATATTTCAATCTACTGTGGGAGACAGAAAAGTTAACAAGTAACTTTATCTTAATCCTTAATTAGTTTAATCCCTAATTAAGAACATTGCTCCTCTGACCAAACAGAAGGCCTTTCTTTCGGTGTTTATCACTGTCCTTATTTCATCTGGCCACCACCCGTACAAAGATGAATTCTATACTGACTTCCTGCCATTTGCATCTCAAAGTTCCAGCATTTTCATTTCAAAGCCAAGTCATTTTTATATTGGTGTTATACTGAAATCCAAGTAGTTTTCTAACACTGTATGTCAAATCAATTCTTCCTTTGATCTTTCCCATAATTCATGTTATCCTGAAATGTCCTACTGTGCTATTAATTCCTAATGAATCTCAGCCTAATTGATATATTAATATTTACATAATTGATTCCATAGTTGATTTCACTAACCCACATTATTTAGGATACAACAAGCAAGCAACAACATAAAGCAAAGAAATCTGATTCACATTAAAAAAAGAAACAGGATAGCCAGGGTGCCTATAGTCCCAGCTACTCAGGAGGCTGAGGTGGGAGGAACTCTTGAGCCCACAAGTTTGAGGCCAGCCTGACCAACATAGTGAGGCTCCACCTCTAAAAATTAATTTTTTAAAAACAGGATAAACTCTGCATTAAAAAAATATATTTCACTGTGGTTTATTAAATATTGAGTCACTCCTAATGTACAGACAGGATTTAATAGGCATTTTACTTTCATATAATTTTTAAGAACAGCCCTGGTGCACACAAATAAGAAACCCCAGTAGCCTAACAACCAATTCCTAAGGTCTAAAATCCACCCTCTCCTCCTATGATTACCACACAACACTGAGCCTTTGCTAACAGCTTGACTGGTTTTCAAACACATTCCAAAGAGTACCTCTACAGGGTTCTGGGAATAGAGGTTTTCTCCTTTACCTATCAGTCATGATTCAGAGTCCACTATGAGGTTTTCACAAAGGAGGGGAACTTCTCTCCTCTTGTTACCTTCCCCTGTACTCACAGGTGGAAAAGAAACCACTGAAAACCAAGAACCAAGAAAAATCCAAACAAAGAATATAAAACCTTTTAAATAATTCACATCCGTCTATATTAAGATTACTATGGCCAGTTTCCAAAAAAAAGTCACAAGACAGAGAACAAAGAATGAGGACAAGGTCACAAACCATACAATGACACACAGGAGGAAAAACAGACAAGTAGAATAACAAAAGACACAGTCTCCTTTGAACTAACATTCTCATTTGGTAGCATGAGAAACATGGTCACTGAAGACATTTTAAATCTATACTGCACCTTGAAGGTCTTGATCAATTCATTTGTCAGTTCTACCACCTATCCCCACCATCCATGTCATAGGACCTAGCCTCAAGGCTGTGCTCACAGTGTTCACTGAATGAAAGCAAAAACTGACTGCCCCTAGGGGCCAGACATGGTCAAGAGACCCTAGGTAACAAGAACACAGCACAAAACACATCAGAAGGCATTGGGAGAGGAAGGCTCTGCAGTCAGCCATCTATCTCAGACTAGCCCAGAGGCCTGAAAACATCACTTTTGACCAGAGTTCCTTATGTTTTCAATTAGTTAACATGCCAGGAAACAACTGAGGGGGACAAGAGAAATTCCATGGTAGACAACTTTATAATTTTATGACATGAAATAACATGACTTTTAAAAATTATTTTTCAGTCTCATTATTCAAGATTTAATGATGTTGCTCCTCATAGGTAGTTCCTTACTCTGCTTATCACAAATTAACTAATTTTTCATACTAAAGGAACAATAAAATGCTACACTTTCAGTGGTTTTGATTCTCACCCATACATCTGAACTGGGCAAAAAGTAAACTACACAACAATCTCTAGGATGACTAATTCCTGACTATCACTATTTACATTTAATCTTCACTTGACTCAAGAAAATTCAAGTTCCATTAGAGATGGAAATGATTCCACCACTTACTATTGGTATTACTTTTAACAATCAAATTACCATAAATTTTATATAAGCTAAAAAATGCATACTGTGAGAAAATCCTGCTCAAATTTGTACGCTCCACCTCCAGTGGCACAAAAGACAGTGTGGAGACTTGAGAAGTTTTTATCTCTGCCCATTTGAATAAAAGCAGGCATGTCATGAGTGGGAAAGCGTATAAAGTGCAGATTGCCTTTGCGTCCACACAGAGTCAGGTCCTTCAGCTCGAGGTGCACGTCCCGAATGCCCGTGGACCCATAAGCCACATTAGAGGTCAGGTACTTCCGAATACTTTTAAGACTTTCTACTTCCTCCTCTTCTTCTTCAGCAGTGATGTCTTTGGGTTCAAAATAAACCAGCTTGACCAGGGTTCCACCAATATCCAAGCCAAACCATGGAAAAACTAAATGGGGAAGAAAAAGAAGTCAGAACAACTTTTTTCTAAAAACTAAATTTACACTTACTAGAGTAGCAACTTCTTTCATGTCCTGTGGTTTCCAAGGGATATAATTCTAAACAAAAATGGGGGCAAAGAAATGCTCTGATTTAAAAGCATATCTTTAAAAGAAAATAAAAACCAGGACAAAGATTGAAAAGATAATATCAAAGTACTGTGCCAACCCCTAACCTTCCTGTACGTACAGACAAGCCCAAACTGCACTATAAAATATTTTTATAAACAAGAAAATGTCTACCATTAGCCTCAATTCTGAAAAACAAAGATTGAAAATGAAGCCCATTGGCTTAAAGAAGAAATGTTCAGACTTTAGAGCTCCAGTTAAATACTCAAGCTAGAGACAGAAGAAATTCCCAACCCTATGTAACATAAGCTCCAGTGGTCAATTTCTCTTTCAAAATTTGATATCCCAGCTGGGCGCGGTGTCTCACACCTGTAATCCTAGCACTCTGGGAGGCCAAGGCAGGAGGATCACTCAAGGTCAGGAGTTCGAAACCAGCCTGAGCAAGAGCGAGACCCCGTCTCTACTATAAACAGAAAGAAATTAATTGGCCAACTAATATATAGAGAAAAAATTAGCTAGGCATGGTGGCGCATGCCTGTAGTCCCAGCTACTTAGGATGCTGAGGCAGCAGGATTGCTTGAACCCAGGAGTTTGAGGTTGCTGTGAGCTAGGCTGACGCCACAGCATTCACTCTAGCCTGGGCAACAAAGTGAGACTCTGTCATAAATAAATAAATAAATAAATAAATAAATAAATAAATAAATAAATAAATAAATAAATAAATAAAATTTGATGTCCCCAAAATATAAGGTTTCAGTGGACTTTAAGTTAACATCTGTTCCCCAAAAAATCCTTATCAAAAAAATGACTTCAAGAGATTGGATCAAGATGGACCACATAGACATACAGACGGTCCTCAACTTAATGGTTTGATGTAACAATTTTTCAATTTATATGATGACGCAAAAGCAACAGGCATTTGGTATGAACCATACACTTCCAGTATCCATTCTGTTTTTCACTTTCAGTACAGTAGTCAATAAATTACATGAGATATTCAATACTTTATTATAAAATAGGCTTTGTGCTAGATGATTCTGCCCAACTCTAGGCTAGTCTAAATGCTCTGAGCATGTTTAAGGTAGGCTAGGCTAAGCTATGATGTTCAGTAGGTTAGGTATACATATTAAATGCATTTTTGATTTACGGTACATCCAACTTTATCAGAATGTAACCCCACCATAAGTCAAGGAGCATCTCTACGTGCCTTCTCCTCCCACCCTACATCCTAAAAATGACTAAAGATAAGGATTTATTGATATATTCTTTTCTAAATAATTCTGGCAAACAAGTGATACTACCAACAAAACTAGAGTGATTCGGGCAATAACCATGCAGAACTCTCAAAAGAGAAATGCTATTAAAACTGGGAACAGCTACAAAGGTGGGAGAACATGTAGCAGTGCTCCATCCAAGCTGTGGATTGAGGTGGCTGCCACAAGAAAACAAAAGCAGGCTCTTGTGCAGTCACAGGTGATCTGGTGGGAAAAGGTATTTGGTGCAACTGGACAGGCCCCTCACTTTCCTCTACCAAGAACCATGCCCCACCTTCACCCTCACAGAGGCAAACTCTTCACTGAGATAGGCCCTGGAGCCCCAGAATCAGGATGGCACCCAGGTGGCTGCTATTATCCAGAAGGAATAAGGAGATGCCACACCTGGCCAAGTATCTCATCTCTCCCCTACAATCTATCCTAACAGACTGGTAAACAGACACGGCACCCACCCACTGACAGAAAAACAGCCATTGGCAAATCAGAGATGATCACTTTATAAACTAGAAAAAATAAAAGGGAAATCAACACCACAAAAATGAGAAACTAAATATCTGAAGAAAGCTATAGGAACAAACAAGGGAATCAAAAATATCCTCAGAGGTAAAATGAGACCTTATCCATAAAAAATGAATAAGCTACCATAAAGAAAAATTATAACTTTAAAAATGATTGCCAACTATGTCTGGTTGCAAAAATTAACACATGATAAAATTATATAGAACTAAATACACATACACAAAAGAGTTTATATAAAACTGGTGAAATTTAAATAAGGTTTGTCCATGTTAATTTCCTAGTTGTGGGGAAAATGCTCTCAAAACCAAAGGACAGGCCGGGCGCGGTGGCTCACACCTGTAATCCTAGCACTTTGGGAGGCTGAGGCTGGCGGATTGCACAAAGTCAGGAGTTGTGGAAACAGGCCTGAGCACCGAAGCGAACCCCATCTCTACTAATAAACTATGAAAGGGAAATTAATTGGCCAGACTAATATATACTAGAAAAAATTGGCCAGCATTGGTGGCTCAGCCTGTAGTCCGAGCGGGAGGCTGAGGCAGGAGGATTGCTTGAGCCCAGGAGTTTGAGGTTGCTGTGAGCTAGGCTGATGCCACGGCACTCACTCTAGCTAGCTTGGGCAACAAAGCGAGACTCTGTCTCAAGAAAAAAAAAAAAAAAACAAAGGACAACACTATAGCGCTGAGCGCATGCTGTTTTCGAGGCTGTATGTTTAAGAAGCCTGCTATAAATGATCCATTTTGTTATGGTGTGTTTTGGGGTGTGTGGTGTGTTGTGTTAAATGCAAATCACATCATTTCTGACATCTGTGTTGTATGTGTTTACTCACAGCTAGGTTGTGTGTGGTATGAAAGCTTATACGTGTTCGTGTTGCTGTGGTGTGTGTTGTCGTTGTTGGCTCATGCCTGGATCTAGCTCTTGGAGGCGCGGAGGCGGGCGGATTGGCTCAAGGTAGAGGAGTGTTCAGAACCCAGCCTGAGCCATTAGCGAGACCGTCTTACTTAAATAGACAAGAAATTAACCGTTGGGCCAACGCTGATGATGATATATTAAAAAAAAAAATTGTGCCGGGCATGGGTGGGCGCATCTGCGCTGTAGTCCCAGCTACCCGGCGAGGCTGAGCGCAGAAGGTCACGGGAGCCCAGGAGTTGTTGAGGTTGCTGTGAGGTAGGCGGAGCACAGGCACTCACTTCTAGCCTGGGCTTTTGTGTGACTCTCTTGTCTTTCAATTTAAACAGAAAAAAAAAAAAAACTTTGTGTGGTAACCCAAATCTTGTTTGCAGGGGAAGGCGTGTGTGTGTATGAATATATATATCTGTAAAAATGCATATAACTGCACATGTAAATGGATGTAGTTTATCATATGTAAATTAAACTCAATAAAGACATTTTATAAAATAAAAAACAATTGCCAATATAAAGCTCAATGAAGATATTTCACAGCAAAATGGGCACAGAAAAAACATGCCTCTCAAGTACAAAGGAAAGGCAGATATAGAGAATATAGAACCAGAAAGTCCAACATCTTATGTGAGTTCTAGAAACTTCCCAGGAGAGAGGGAAGACATGAATCATCAGGTTGAAACTCTTAAGGGTTAAAAAGAATCAAATAGGGGAGAAGGGGAAGATAACTTAGACACATCCTATTGAAATTTCAAGAAATCCTAAAGAAAAAACTGAATTCCTACAGATATATACATCACTTAAAGGTAAATATTAGACTCTTCATCAGCAACACAGATACTATTACAGAAGACAATGGAGCACTGGCTTCAAAGTTATAAAGAAAAAGATTCTGAAACTTAAATCCAGCCAAATCAGCTCTCAAGTAGGAGTACAAAAGAAATTTTCACACATGAAGGGGCTCAGCTTTTACTACTCAAAGACCTTCTCTGAGTTAATCAGTAGATGCATGCCAATAAAATTTAAAAACATCCAAGAGCTTTAAGAAACTTTATCCAGAAGCTATAAGAAACAATAAACAAAGGGTACCAGTGCATGCTGACTTTTAGAAAAATAAGCAATCTGAAACTAAAATATTTACATTATTTCAACATAGGAAGTTGAAGAGGAAAGAGAAAGCAGAAGGAAGTGAAAGCAAGCAGCAATTCTGTCTTGTTGGGAACAGGAAGAAAAGATAAAGATTCTGATTAATTCTAGACAAGGATACAGAAGTAACAGTTTAAATGTGTTAAAAATTTACAGGTAACTCCAGAAGAGGAGAAAAAAGAACATGCTACTTTCAAACAACTAGGGAAAAAAACAGTTGAAAAACAAGAAAAGGGAAGAAAACAAAAATACAAAATGATAAATGACAGGAATGCATATAATCAGTAATCACAAACAGGTCAAATTTCTCTTCCAGATTGAAGAATTTCGACTTTATGCTGAGGGAAAAAACACACCTCAAACAAGATAATATAAGTAAACTGAAGGAAAAATGGTAAAACACCCACAACAGAGTCATATCATAAGAAGGTGAATGCTTTGAAAGATGAAAATGGCATGGCATTCCATCAATATTATCACTTGTATCAAAATCTTAAGCACTCAAACACTTCATTGGAGAGCAATATACTAGACAAAACAGCTTAGTTACTTTCAGAAGCCATGGAATAGTAAAAGTCACAAGTTTCAAGACTAGCATTACACTGGTCACAGGGCTATGCTGCCATTATTTCCCCCCAAATAGTGATCTACACCAAGGAAATGACACTCGCAATTCTCATTCATCCCTACATTCACTCACAATCATATATTCACTGATCAAAACAGTGGGTAGACTCACTGGCACCATTTATTTAACTGATTTGCCAAATTTATACAGTTGAATTTGAATGAGCAAAATAAATGCCTGGACAGTGCTACTCCACTGTATCAAGCAAATATTAACAGAAAGCAAATACAACACTAGTAGACCAAACAACTCAAACAAAAAGCATTAAGTGGAGACAAAAAGAACTTATGTCATCTGCATAAAGTACAATCGGTCAATGTAACAGCCATGATCCTTAGATACCTAATACATGCTTCAAAAAATATTAAAACAAAGAGAAATTGACAAATCTACAAAACAACATGAGAATGACACA